GGATGAGGGGATGGATGGAGGAGGTGGGGGTACAAGGTGGGACGGGGGTGGGGGTCAGAGATGGGGGGAACGAGAGAGGGGGAGAAACAATGTTGTGAAAGCCCAGAGACCACGGGGAGAGGCACACGGCGGTACACAGGGCACTGGGGGCTGGGGACGGCACCAGGGGGCCCTGGGGGGCCCCCACCCGCCACCAGCCCCCCCAGCACAGGTCATGACAGTGCCAGGCCTCAGAGGCAGAGGGGAGAGCATGGGGTGGCGAGTGGGACATAGGGGAGCCCCACCCAGCAGCAGGACAGAGCTGGTGGAGGGATTACAATAATGGGAAGGTGGGGGGGGGCATGCCCCCACCCACTGGGTGCCCCCTGCCTGCCTTGCTGGAGCTGCCCCATCCCTGCAGCCTCCCAGGGTGGGGGGCACTGGAGGGGTGTAGGGGTGTCCGGGGGTTTGGAGGGGCACAGGGGCTCACCTGGCATCGGCCTCGCTGTAGTACTCCCGCGCCACAATGTCCTCAAAGAGCTCACCACCTGTCACCCTGAAACACAGCCAGGCACCGTGTCACCCCAGGACCCCAGAGACCCCCCCCAAGACTCCCTGAGCACCCCCCGAACTCCCGGGACCCCCTAGCCACACTCACAGGTCAAAGACGAGGTAATGGAAACCCTCCTCAGAGATACTGTCGTGGAGCCGCACTGTGGGGACCAGACAGGGACAGGCTCGGTCTCAGTTCCCAAAGCCCTCCCCAGCCCCCCCCAAATGCTACGAGTGGCACACACATGTGTCTGTGTCACACGCAGCCCACACACCCACACCCAGAGTGTTCCAACTGTGGCACCCAGCAGGACCTCAGGGGTGAGACCCCACACATCCCCAGAGGGATACCCAGCGTGTGTCCCCAGGGTGTCATCCAGGGTGTCCCTGGGTGGCAACCCACAGGACCCCACACGTTCCCAGGGTGGCACAACCCCGTGGTGGCACCCAGCATGTCCCTGGGTGGCCCCTGGCAGGACCCCAGCAGTGAGACCCCCCAGGTGTCCCCAGGTGTCCCCGGGTCACTCACCGATGTTGGAGTGCTTGAGCAGCCGGCAGATGCGCGCCTCGCGCTCCAGCTTCTGGTGGTCTGGGGGGGTCAGGGGTCAGGGGGGCACCTGCCCTGCCCCCAACACGCCCCACCCCAGGCATCTGTCCCTGGCCCAGCCTCAGGGAGAGGAGCCACAGGCGTCCCCGTGGGAGGGCACGTGGCTCTGTGCGCATGTGCAGGTGTGCACAGGGGCCAGGTGTGTGTGTGCACCTGTGGGTGTGTGCATGTGTGTCTGGGTGTGCACGTGTGCAAGTATGTGCAGGTTTGCACGTGTGTGTATGTGTATGTGGGCGTGTACACATGTGTGCAGGTGTTCACCGGCATGCACAGGTGTGCACGTGTGTATGTTTATGCAGCTGTTCCCGTCTGTGTGGGTGTGTATGTGTGAATGCAGGTACACACCTATGGACAGGAGTGCACATGTGGGCAAGCACCTGTGGCTGTACATGTGTGTGGGTGTGCAGGCGTGTGGTTGTATATGTGTGACAGGTGTGCAGGTGTGCGGGTGTGCATGTGTGTGTCTGTACCCGTGTGTGCAGTTGTACAGCTGTGTGGTTGTACCTGTGTGCACAGGTGTACGTGTGTGTGTGTGGCTGCATCCATGTGCATCTCTGTACCTTGGTCTGTGGGTGTGTAGTGGGGTGTGCAGCTGTGGAGGTACCTGTGTGTGCAGCTGTACATCCATGCAGCTGTGCCTCTGTGTGACTGTACACGTGTGACTGCACTGCCCACTGTAGGAGCACACACCTGTACCTGTGTGTGCAGCTGCACCTCTGGGTGTGTCTGTACATGAGGGAACAGATATGTGGACAGGTGTGTGCACCTGCTCACATCCCCCCTTGCACATGCATGTGTGTGTGAACATACACAGTTCACACACAGTTCATACACACACATTGTGGGCACCCCCTGCACTCACTGCTCAGCCTGTGCACGCAGCCATGGCCACAGACACACACAGAGCACACACCCACCCACCCTGTGTCACTGGACGCTGCCTCTCACCCAGGTGCACCCCCCCCAAACACCTACACCCCTGCACACTGTCACACAACACACAGCAGTGCCCACCCCTGTGCGTACACACACACACTGACGCACACCCTACCTGCTCACACCTAGGTGCACGCCAAGGACACCCACATCTGCACACACACACGTAGGCCCCCTGCTCACAGGGGTGCACTCACACGTGTGTACACACACTCCATGAACACACAAATCTGTACATGGACACACGCTGTGAACACAGATCTGTGCACATACACTCAGATACCCTCCACTGCTCACACGTGTGCACACGCCCACCGTCACACACACACCTGTGCACACATACATACACATCACACACCTGTGTGCACAGAGCTCACAGCTGTGCACACAGAGCTCAGACCTTAGTGCATAGAGCTCACACCACTGCATGCACACACAGCTCACACCTGCACACACACACAGCTCACACCTGTGCACACACACGGATCACAGCTGGGCACACACATACACACACAGAGCTCACACCTGTACATAGAGCTCGCACTTGTGTACACACAGAGCTCACACCTGTGTGCGCACACACACACACACACACACACACAGAGCTCACACCTGTACACAGAGCTCACACC